GACTAAGCTTTTCTAAACAAGACTCTAACTATACAAAGCTGACAACAAAATAACCTGTAGTGATTGCACAGTTCGTACGAGCATACTTGTGTAAGTATACAACAGAAAATTTTCCCTAGGACAACTACTAGTCACAGCAAGTTCAAAGACTAGTTTTATTCAGTACAGATAATTTTAGTATTAGTAGACTAGAAGTAAATTAACCTCTTCCAGATATCTGAATAATTCCATTTAATAGTCAATATTAAACAATATTTGAATAATGGCTAATTATTGATATACTGTGATAAATCTCAAATACTCTTTGGGTATGAGTACAATATTCTTACGTTCTGATACTCTGAAAACTAACTAGTGAGTATGTGTAAGTGTGAGGGGAGGGTGGAAACTAGATAGGAGGTATGCTTACGTCTAAACCTAACTTAAATTTAGTTAAGTTAAATGTTTAAAAGTTTAGGCTTAGGAGTCAGAAAGAACTGGGTCCAAGTCCTGGGTCTTTCACGTACTAGAATTTTCACCCTTAGCAAGTTGTATTAGCTTTCTGAGCCTGAGTTTCTTCTGTACAATGCAGATATTCCCACCTTCCTCACATGACTGCTCTAGTGAGTTTAAGAAAACTGAAAAAAGTGCCCTGCATATTAAAAACTATCAGCCAAGTAGTAGTTACAGTGTGGTTATGATCTAGTTATAATATGGTACTGTGAACAAAAATCACCTGTGATGATCATTTGATTTTCAAATGTTAAAGAAGACCAGGGAACTGTGATAAGAGGCTCTTTTTAAGATACACCAAAAATTGCCTCCAGAACTTTCAGAAGAGAGATATTTTTCTAAAAGCCATCCTTAACTTGGAATCCTGGTTCATATAACTGCAGGCCCATTCAATGTCTCAGCTAAAGATTTTAAAGTATGGGATGAGGGAAGCCACTACCAAGAAAGGAGTCCATGAAGATAATATGGAGTTTAGACAGACTGATTCAGAGATGTTCGCCATGTGATTATTTATAGTGAAAAACTCACCACCACCTAAAAAGCTTATTAGATTAAGTAAATGATTGGATATTATGCAGCCATTAAAATGTTTATGCATCACTTATGACAGAGTGCAATAGAAAATCTAACATACAAAATTATATAGAGATTATAATTCAAAGTAGAAAGTGTACAGAATTACCAAGAAAAAGTGTGCCAATATGGTCACAGTGATGGCCTTGGGGTTGTGACTTTTTTCTTGATTCCTAATAAAATTTTTGTATAATGAACACACATTGTGTTATAAAGTCAGAGAATATTTTCATAACACTTCATTTCTGTATTTATAAATACAACTTCTGCTTTTTCCCCTTCTTAGCAAATAAGTTATTGTGGGAATCAAAAAGTTATCCCTTTTCTCTGCTCTAGGAAGGGTGGGTGTTTCCATGTACTCTAAGAAAAATCTTAGGAGAACTGTGTTTTGCTAGAAAGGTGTCCTCATTTGGGGCATGTAAATATTACCTTACAGAGGTTTATTGTAAAAGTTAAAGAAATCTGATCTCTAATATATGAGTTTTTT